ATTGCAGAGCACATTTTGTACCGCTACACATTGCTTTGTTTTATTTTGTTTTTGCTTGAAGATTGCAGCAAAAGAAGCAAAAAAGTCTGGGAATCACAATAAACATCTCAAACAAGTAGCTATCATGATACACAAAAGTATCCAAGCTCAAATCCACTTGTTTATTTATTTTAATGTCGTGGAACAGCCAGTGGAAGGTTCGCACAAAGTCACAAGTTTAGGTCGGTTCTTGTTACAGACCAGAATAACAGCAGTGCAGATAAGCTGGAGCCTTAAAGGGGATATGTTCTGGGAAATGGACTTTTCAACTGTTTGCGTCCAAATAATTAGGTCTCTGGCGTGCCTGCTCACCCATCAAGTGTGAAATTAAACAACCAAGTAAGTCTTTCGTTAGCTGCCATTTCCTAAAAATGTGTCCTGACCTTGAATAAATAGTGTTGTCACAATAATTAAATTAGCTAGCGGTGGCTTCCCCCAAGCGCAATTCATTTGCACTATGTGTGCGGAAAGGTGAGCCTGGAAGGAATCTCAGACTCTCCAGAAGTTTCCAATAACATCACTAAAAACGAGTCGCTTTATATGTAATCCAGTCACCAGAGGGGTCGGAAAAGTTGCTGCACTGTATTTAATTGTCAAAACTGAATAGCCCTACCTCTGACTCACTGGTTGTCTTGGTAACAAATGTATTCGAGAGGTTTGCCTCCTCCCAAAAATAGATTGATTTAAGTATGACTGGTGGATTTTTAACTGTGCTTAGGTTCTTTTTTTCTTTTTGCAAACGATGGAAGAATGTCATAGACTTTTAGATTTTGTAGGTGGTCACTTTATGTGTTCAGTTTTGCTTTATTTTATAAGACAATCTAAATCAAACGCATATCTGACATGCGCCTTCGTATTACGCTTTCATCATGACAGTGAAGTCAAGTCTGAGTGTTTTTTTTTATTGTTTTGATAGTTTATTATCCATAGGTAAGCTATTTTTACTCACTGACTCTTTCTTAAAACCGGGTTGTCCAAATCAATCACAATTTTATAATGGCAACAGTTTGACCCTGAAATGGACTCTATTCTATTTCCTGCTCTTGACTCTTTCTTCCTCTCTGTCACCCTCGCTTCTGTCCGTCCCTTCCCCAGGTGGATGGGGTGAGCCTGCAGGGCTGCAGTGAGCAGCGTGCAATGGAGGTGCTGAGGCGGACGGGTCCTGTAGTCAGACTGAGGCTGCTGAGGAAGGCTGTCTGCCTTCGTCACATCTTGCCCCCGGTGCCTCCACTGCAGCCTCTCCGTCACTCCCACAGCTTCAACGAGGGCAATCCTTACAGAGTGGGACTGAACAAGATTTATGAGACAGGTGATATGTGGAAAAAGCATCACAGACTCGGTGTATCTTTCACAGTATCGATTTGATCCGATGGCGAAGCACACCCACAGGCCCTACATGCATTCTCTAAATATTCCTCGGTGCCTTTTAAGCTTATGAGCTTCAGTGAACAAAAAAATACCACTTGTTATTGTTGAACCTGTAAGCTTATATTGACATTCTGTACAAATGCTATCTTTGCTCAGGTAATAATACTCAGTTTTGACAGACCCGGTCAGGGCGATATTTGTATATCCAGAACATGTGATACAGCACTTGCAGAACATCTCATTAAATTGTATGGGTGCCTAATGAGTATACATTTGAGTTTATTTGTTGCGTGTTTACATGCATGGTTGTTGAAATCCGTGCTCCCTTCCAGGAATATGCTCGCTGCGTGAAATCTCCCGGCGTGCAGCATACGCCAACAGACGACCCCGACATGATTCAAGAAACGGTAAGCTCTCGCTTCCCTTCCGCTGCACTGCAGTCTGCAAAGTGGATGATGAGACTCGCTCTGATACTCTTAAGTAGGCTTGTGGAAGGCGATGTGGCGGCGAAGCATGCTCTTTGATGAGAGTCTATTTATAGTCTTGTGCAATCATGTGTTTATCCAACTCATTCTGCTCCTTCCAGATGATTTGCCTCTCAGCCTGCCTGCCTACACGGCTTTATTTAGACAGCGATCTTCGGGTTTGATTGGGGAGCTCTGTTCAATAGGCCTTGATTGCTGTGAGGCATTCAAAGATCAAGTACAAGAAAATATTTGTTTGCCAAGAAATCTGATAGCGGGTGTGATAATGCACACTTCAATGGCTTTTGTGTCGAGACATCATGCAGTGCCCCCAGGGTCAGATGTTTGTCTTCTCTGTATTGAACAGTAGAGATAATGACTGAACACTTTCTCTCCTAGCCCAATGTGAATACTGGCAGGTGGTATATTAACATATTAAACTGTGTTAAATGCGGACATGCGTTTCTGATCCCAGGAGTGCAACTGACACCGGCAGAGGAAGAAGACCTCAGGATGAGGTGGCAACGTGCCGTTGGACCGAGCTATGAAGTCATTGTACGTCTCTTTACAACTTGAAGCGCATTGCATTCCATTTTATTCGGTATACGATTCGTACATTACCACGTGCACATTTCAGTGCTACGTGGTTTTTTTTTTGACCACTTATTTTGGCTGATATGATGTCCTTGTTTTGTCTTGTGTTTTTACTTGTACTAGTAGCTATGAAACAGAATTTTGGCGAGCCTCAAGAACTGTATGATGTTGACAACCGCTGTGTAATCCTTTGGGCATTCTCCTGTATATTTACAGTATTGTCTACATTATGATGATAAAGTCAGCAGTCTCCACAATTTGACTGAATGTGTTGCCTTAGGAATGATGGAATAGATATGAGGAAAATTGTGACAGCTTCACTCACATTAAAAAAAAAAAAGAAAAAAAAAGTATAAGCTACCCAGTGTTGGCCAATGTTCAATTTTTTTGTAATGCCGTTTTAGGTTTGTCAACTGGAGCGCTTCAGTGAGACAAGTGGCTTCGGCATCAGCCTGGAGGCTCGGGCCGGGCATCATTACCTGTGCTCCGTTTTACCCGAGGGCCCCATTGGACAATGTGGCAAGATCTTCACTGGGGATCAGATACTCGAGGTGAGGAACTTGAATTTGTAAAAAAAATGAACAGTTCTTAACTGTCCTACTGGACCAAGAAATGTTTACACCTTTTAGAAAATGGATGGATGGATTCATTCTTAGCTCGCCTGGATACATGCAGGCAGTGCACGGAGGAAGAAAACACGGTCAAGGCCAATGAAAGTCATCAGCCTCAAACTGAGTCGGGATGTGTTTCTCTCAGAGTTCATGACATTAGCATTGCAAGGTTATTTATTTCTTTATTTGTGATTACTATGAACAGGGGGCCAAGTGGTAATAAGAAGGTGGGTGTGAGTGCGGCACTCCCACGGCTGCTCTGAATATAAAGTTCATGAATGCACACATACGGTATTACTCGTCCTTCGTGAAGAGATGTTTGTCTGTTGAATTTGTAAACCATTTCCGGTCTCCAAGGCCATGTAAATATTGCAGCCATTTGCGGGACTCTGCTGTCCTCCTGCAGTCTATACGTCCCACTTTGATTTTAACTTCACAATCCCAGCAAAGCAAAGCTGGTTTACTTCTCCAATTTTAAACTAGCCCCACAATTTTGCAGCATAGGAGAGAAACTGTACTCTCTGACCCAAAGTATAACAGTTTTAATATAGGGTGGAGCAACTCTCATTTCAGTTGTATTCAAATTATTTGTACACGGAAAATAATGTTTCAGTAGCTTATGAGAATTAGCTTTGATACATTGCCATACTTTGACTAACCCCTAGTTCACTTGTATAAAGCAACAAACACCAAGGGTGAACACTTTCATGAAGGTATGACAGACAAGTGCCAGGGCTGGAATTATAAAAAGAAGTACAGTATTTAAAATCCAAACAACACAATGCAAATTTTCCCTTTCGAAGTAACCCTCCTGAAGTTTAACGTGCTTTTCCGCCCTCCTCTGCCACGCCTTTTTGCACTCCTGGAAGGATTTTTTTTTCCATTGGTGTAGCCATTTTGATCTTGTCTATGTCTTCAAAAATGGTCCCTCTGAGAACACCCTTGACCTGGGGATATATATAAAAAAAAAGTCACAGCCAGATTTGGTGAGTAGGTTGCTCCAGCATGGCAGTGTTCTTCTCAGCCAGTAACTTTGATGCTCAGGGCCTTGTGAGCTTGTGCGGTAATCATGCTGAAGCAGCCATGAGTTGTCCTGCCACAAATGCATAAGCACTTAACGAAATAAACGCAGCAGGATCTCTTTCCACATGTGCCGGTTAATTGTTTGTCCATGTGGCAAGAATTCACAGTAGACGATTACACTTCCCGTCGCAGGATGTGATCAATATGACTTTGACGTCTTGGGTTTTTCGGCTCTGGAATCTCCGGGCGGGTCGTTGACGTAGATCCATGACTCATCACCGCTGATGACTTTCCCTAGCAAGTCCGGTCTCATCATCACTCAAACTTGTCATTGCGTGACAAATTGGCACATAGAAGAGGTGCTATATCTATAAGAGTATGTGAGAAAAAGTCCAATGGCTGCAGGGCGCTGAGATCACCGTTATATATTTGAGGACGATTACATTTCAAGTAAAAATTGGTAGTTTGGGTTTGAAATATATCTTTTTGTGACAGCTATCCCAGAACTTTTCTGGCACACCTCGTATTCAAACCAGCGATTGATGACTTCCATCAGTTAAGGTGTGAACAATTTGTGTCATAGGAATGAATGTAAATCAAATGGATCATAAGTGTATTATAAATCGAAAATCAATAAAACACGTACCTGCTATAACTAGTTACCAGTTAACTACTAGGAGCTATCCAATAGATATCAGACTAGTGGTTAATTGTATCACTTGTTGTATAAGGTGTTGCTAAAAAAGCAAAGAAAGTATTCCATGATATTATGACTTTTGCAGCGTGTTAAGTGCAGAAACTAGCGTACGTACAAGTACCATTTTAAAATGTTTCTCCTGGCGCTCCAAACTCCCATCAGTGAATTGCACATGAAACAAACATTGAATGACAATAAAAAAAAAAAAAAAAAGATACATGGCAACGACTCTGATCGTAAGCTGCAGTTGCAGACTGCTGACCGCTAACAACGTCCGGTGATGCAGATCATGCGCCACCGTAGGTTAAAGGTAACCCGCTTTTTTAAAATGTGATTTTATTTTTTTAAATACTTATTTTTGTGAAAGTCTCTTTTTCCCCCATTTCCCCATACATTCCTTGGGACCATCGATCGTGATCGACGTTTTGGCCACTCCTAATCTAGAAAAAGTCCAATTTCCTTCACCTGAAGAAAGGGCCCCTGAAATGTATGCATTTTAAAAAAGTACGGTGTTTGTGGAAACATGCACATATTCTAATCTCCCTTGCAGGTGAACGGTATCCCACTCATTGGAGAGACACACAAAGAGGTGGTCAACATCCTCAAGGAGCTGCCCATGTGTGTTTACCTGGTGTGTTCTCGCATTGTCCCCCCTGCCATTCCCGACAGCGATGAGGAAGAAGAGGACGATGGCCAACTCACCCTGAAAGAGCTGCTGGCTGAATTCAATGACAAGGTGAATGCAGGAACGGGCAGATGTGTGTTTCGAGGCAGATGAGAATGGAAGGGATGCTTTTTATTCTTTTTTCCTCCAGCTGAATAAAAGCTTTTTTTTTTCTTTTTCTTCTCCCAGTTGGACCAGGGCTGCGTTATTCCCTGTCCTACGGCCGAGGACATCACAAAGCGTGGTGTGCCCCCGATGTCACCTCCTCTGGCCATGTGGGAGAGAGAGGCACAGGTGGTAGAGCTGGAGAAAGGGGAGTCAGGATTGGGCTTCAGCATCCTGGACTATCAGGTAATAGACAAGGCCCTTAGCCTTTCTAAAAATAGACCAGACAGGAATAAGCTGCAGTCTCACAACATTAGCGTCACCTCAGTGAAGAAAATGGAGAAGGCAATCTAGCAGAGCTTGTGTATGTGAAAGCCCAGAAGAGAGTTCATCTGATAAAATTGGGTAGAACCTTTCTTGGGGGGAAAAAAAAAATAAAAACAAATTTAGACCCCAGTTGCACGGGACTAAAAAATAGTTTGAAAGAATTTTAAAATATAATGATCAAAACAACCCAACCCAAGTTAGCTATTCCCACACTGCTCCCACAGATAACACAATTAAAAATAAATAGAAACGGGGACAAGCTTTTATTATGAATATGTTTGTGTACGGAACATCAGAGATAAATTGTTGGTCTCCTTTTTTCAATAAAACAGAGTTTTCAAGTCGCCTGTCAAGCTCTTTCATGTGCCTCATCCATATGCTTGTCTTGCAGGATCCGGAGGATGCCACTAAAACAGTGCTGGTAATCCGCTCCTTGGTGCCGGGCGGTGTCGCCGACCGAGATGGCCGCCTGCTCCCTGGAGACCGCCTCATGTTTGTTAATGAGACTGACTTGGAAGGCTCCAGTCTGGATTACGCCGTGCATGTGCTGAAGTCCACTGGTTACGGCCCTGTCCACATTGGTGTTGCCAAGCCGCTGCCGGTATGTCGGCAAAACAGGTTGTGCAGTTCATGTACTGGATGTTTAGAAAGATTTCAGGCTAGATGGAAACAATGCCTCAAGACCACCATCTAAAACATTGTTCAACACGCCAAGACTAAGTGACACTGAGGCGGTTTTTAATTCTGTCGTTCTGAAAATACAGTAGTGACTTACAATAGCCTTGTCTCAGTAAATTGCCTGAAGCTTTGTCCACTTGAAAGTACAGTATGCGCCTGACTTGAAAGAGAAAGTATCCCAAAAGTGACAGATGGCCTTGTTACAGTGTACCTGTCACTTTATTCGGTACTTAGGTAAAACTGTTAAATTTATGAAGTTGGGAAAAAAAAGGTACATTTTCATTGTCAGAGAAGCATTCATTAAATGCAAGGTTACTATTGCGGTTGCTGAGGTTTTTATCGATGCTGTCATACTCACAGGTGATCTCGCCCTTTTGATGTCGCTAAATAAAAACAAAAGATTTCAAACAGCTGTGCCTAGTAGGTGTAATAATAATAAGTTAGCTAAAAAGTGTACATACGTGGCATCAACTTATTCCGGTGTATCCAACAGTGATAAATATTGTCGTTAGAATACACAGACATATTTTATTATCCAAAATAAGTTCATTACTGAGTGTGGTTAAGAACAGTTCTCTTTTGTTGTCGACTGTGGCCTAGTAACAAGGTCCACGGGGTTCAGTTACAGCCCGTCTAAATATTTAATGCCCCTCCAAGGTGAACACAACGCTCAAACAGTCTCGAAATGGAGAGGCAAGAGGAGCAGGAGTGACGGGTGTCTAATGTACCTTCTCTAGCTCGCTTGCCTCCTGCATTTATAATTTTGACACTTTTCAGCTTGGCGATACATGGATATTCTTATAATAGTCTGTTACATTTCAAATTGCTCTGCGTGTGTTGTCAGTTGGAACTTTGCGGCGGCTTGACGCCCATCTTGGAGAGAAGCACCAGGGAATCCTGTGATGACAGCGAGAGCCACAGTCAGGTCACGCTGCTAGCTGAGGAAGCTGAGGCCAACGCTTGCAACCTGGCGGATAACAACGTCCACCCATATTGCAACAACTCGGTAAGCTCTACGCACAGCACTCAAACTAACCAATGTGGCTCTGACAGCTGTTTTCCTTTGATGCTGTCATGTGTTTTGCCAATGCTTCTTCCTCATTTTCTACTGTCGAGGTCACCAACCTTTTTGGAACCGAGAGCTACTTCTTGTGTACTGATTAGCCAGCAGTTGGAGACACACTTTTGAGACACGCATTTGAAACATGTAAACATTTTCTCAGTTTAACTTTGAATCCGTTGTTAAACGGTACAGAAAATGGGTGGATGGATGGATGGATATTTATTGACTGATAATGTTATTTCTCACTGATTTAACAAGGTATGAAACATGCACACATCATCATGCAACACATTCCTAGAAAATCACAATGTCCCATCACTGCGCAGCTAATTTTAAAACAGGACAGCAGGCAAATGTACAGCACATCACGTTTTTGGGCCTGTTTTTGTTCAATTTTACGTACTATATTTTCCGCACTAAAAGGCACGTCTAAAACATTCAAATTTCTCACGAGCCGACAGTGCACCTTATCATCCGATGCGCCTTATATATGTATCAATATTCAGATTTTTTTTTTTTTTTGGGATGAGGTATTTTAAATTTTCTGTTCGGCGCTTTTCAACAGCCGCAGTGCTTGTTAAAGCTCTGCATAAATGAAGCTCTATTGTATTGTATTCAATTTAGCGTAGCTCCATCTAGTGGATGCAGCTGCAGCCACTAGTGGAGCTTTTTTTCTATGCGCCTTATAATGCGATGCACCCGATATATGAAAACAGTTGTAAAATAGGCCATACGTTGAAGGTGTGCCTTAAACTCCGAAGTGCCTTATAGTGCGGAAAATACGGTAATTCAAACCGATGGAAATTTCCTATGCTATTGAAATACATAAATCTTCTGAATGATCCGGAAGAATTTCTCTGACTGCTGGCGAACCCTTCACTGCATATACCTATTCATCAAACAGCAATGATATGGCGCACTCTGAAATCTGAAAGAATTGTCCGAGGGGGATACATTTCACAATTGTATTGCCTTTTGTAGCTCTCAATATTGTAAAAATTGCACTGCGTCAGTGTGACAAGCAGCAAGGAGTGCTCAGGCGTGTCTAAAAGTAGATCACCATGGCCGTTCTCTCGAGTGTTTTGTATGGGAAGCTTACAGCCGGCTGTCTCTATATCACTGCGTCAGGTGCGGAGAAAGTGCTCCATGTCAAAGACGCGTTTCTCTCTTGTGGCAGCCTTTTGTGCTGGACTTTGCTTAATTGCCTGCAATTGTGTCTCGCTGTAAGTGTATGCCTGGCGCATGCTGCTGGCACCCGGTGCGGCACAAGAACATGATCTACCCTTGTCTCGCACGTATAGTTGCACTCGCTGAGGTTTCTCATCAAAGCCGTTGCAAAGGTAGCGTCTGAACTTCAGTGCTGCCTGTGAAGGTTCAAAGAACTTCTCCTCACTGAACCTTTCTCTTTATGAAAGCATCCACCGGGACCAGAGGAGTCTACCTTTGTTGGTGCGCTCCATCCTAGAAGCAATCCCGAGGCCTTCAGCCTGCAAAGTTATTACCCTTTAAATTATTTTTTGTCATGCCGTGCCTCCTGTGCTTCCCAGGATGCCGCTGGAGTCAAAATCTTGAAGCGAACATGTTTCTCTACAGGAGCGGCTGTATTCCTGCACATTTTTTCTGTGCTATTGTTTCTCATGAGACCTTCCTATTTGCCGAGCAGACACTATATTCAATAAACCGCCGGCTGGGTTATTAATGGCAATGACAAAATCCTCAGATATCTTGTGCAAGCCCTCTATAGTTTGGATTGCTCAAGCAAAGATGATTTTTCAGTGTTGAACCTTTTATTTGGCAATCATTAAAATATAGTGGAACTGCCAAGGTTGAAGAATATCCTCTCCACAAATCTCCTCAAAACCCAATTAGAATAAATGTTTTGACAGTTATGAATGGAAACCGAATTAAGCCGCTCTCAAGTCAAAACATGGTCATCACAAGATCTTTATTTCAATGTCAGTAAAATTGGAACATTTGAGACTCCAAAGATGTCTTGTAAATTTGACACATCACAGAGAAGAGCATTGTCATGGAACTTTGCATCTTAAAAGCTGTTCATACATCTCACATAACTTCATGCAGAGAGATAGCCGCATATCATATCATATAAGTTTCGTTTCAGTGAGTTATCTCAAGTAACTAAATTAATCTTATTACATTATACATCACCAACAAAGCCTAGCGAATAACAGAATAGGCTACTTTTATAAGTTTTTTTTTTTTATGATCACCAAGTTGCTATAGGTCAGATTTGACACATGCACATAGGCACATTGTCGCTGTCACAGTGCTGAGAATATTCACACAATTATCACTGCGCTTTAAAGATTGCAGAAAATGTTGTTTCATGGCCAGAACAAGAGCTCAAATGATTTTAAAAGGTAGCTACCTGAATGGTATCACTGTGTACACCCTTTCAGGAAATCCAGCCGCATCTGCGTTTTGGTGTCAAGGAAGACGACGACATGCAGCCCGTCCCTCCTCTGCCCCCACGCACCAGCTTCGAAAAGACAATCACAGTTGTCCGGGGCAACCGTAGCCTTGGTATGTCCTCCGTCTTACTCATGGTGATGGTGTCCTGGTGTGTGTACATTGCAGGAATGGCCATAATGGCGATAATAGGCAGTGGTGATGATGACCGCCCTGAAGAGGAATGGTGAAATTTTGTGGTTCTTATACTCAAAAGTATATCACTACGGTGTATTTGCGCATGTGTGTGTGTGTGTGTGTGTGTGTGTGTGTGTGTGTGTGTGTGTGTGTGTGTGTGTGTGCATTAAATATTAGATCCGATTATGAAGAAATGTAAACCAGAGATGGGAAATGTTTGATGTTGACCTAAAAGGACATATATTTTTATGACGGTCCATTTTTCCCGAACAAGCTCACTATATGTATTTTTTGCTCAGGACACTGAAACTGACACTAAGTTTCATTGCTATCAATCAGTTTTGGAGCAGTCTGTAAATAAATAATAGCCTTTGGGATGCCCCGCATTTTGTCGCAGAAACAAAAAACCAAACAAATACGAATACGCCCACGTGTCTTTCTGTACATGTCAGTGACAAATTGGACATCTAATTCACTCTGTAGCCAGTGTAGACACAGGCATGTATATACTCTAAAGTTGCATTGTTTGCTCATATTTTTACATCTCATCTGCACAAAGTTATGTCATGTTGTCTGATGCTGCTTGTAGCCGGTGAAGGTGCACTCTGAACGGACACGATCAGCGCAGTGTCTCGTTACCTTTGTTCTTTATTTGCTGCAGGTATTGATTTGAACAAAAAAAGCCGACTCAAATGTATCCATCCTCGCTATTTTCACTTGTTAATGTAAAAAAAAAAAACAACTTCTAGATGGTCAAATATCGGCAAAAAAAAAAAAAAACATGGCATGGCTTTCTTCAACAGAACAAAGAAATAGGCTGACTGTCTTACTTTTCAGATATTTTGAACATTCAGGAGCTTTGAATTGTTGTTCTCAAATAATTTGAACCACTTCAAATTAGTTGTTATGGTGAAAAATATATATCGATAATAATAATAAGTGCGCATAAACCCACATACTACTATGGCTCAAAGATCATGTTCTCTGCCTCCGACACCAGTCTCACGGATGCCTCAAAGCCTCAATCCGCTTCCATCCGCCATTTTTACGACTTAACAAAGAAACGTCTGTAGGTTCACGTTATAACGTACATCTTTGGGCCTGATTATTGATCTTTATTTAGAGATGATAAGTTTGTTAGTTTTCCCCAAAACTGGATTTGTTTACTGCATGATGATGAGATGAGATGGAATGATGATGATGACACACTTACACAGTATAATATATTCATTGTATTCCTTTCTCGTGGTCTCTCTCAATATACCAACTGCTTTTAGATGAGTTTGTAGTATTTTAAAGTGTATTTAAATACCTTAAAAAAATAAGTGCCATAAATGCTGGAAAAAGATGCCTAGGGAGTATTTCATGAGTGTATTTCTACAATATATCACAGCCCACCAAATGAATGGTGCCACATGTTACGTGAGAAAACAATGTTTTAATCCTTGATTATACTCATGTTTCGCAGCAATATACTTGATAGTTCAAATAATTGTTGATGAGACAATTCATATAAATAGTAAACACGCTTTTCTTTCGATATTATTTACATACCAGAGCTATCGAGTCCTGAGTTGCACTGTGCAATTCTATGGTCATCATCACATTTTCTGGTACTTCTTTTTGGTGGTGTCACAAAAAGACATAAAATCCAAAGAAAAAGCTAAATCTTGCCTCATGTCATGCACGAATGATTTTCTTTTAAGACATAAATTCCGTGAAAGTTAATAACTGGCTGGACGTTCAAAATGAGATGTTCTGCTGTATCTGTACACTGTTAAAAAACAAGAGACAATAATTTTCAATACAATTTCAAGTCGGGCAATTCAACTAAATATTTTCAGTGTTTGCTGTTGTGAATATTGGCTTTCTCGTATTTCACACCAATGAAATAAGAGTTTAAAGAACAGTTGTCCCTTGTATTGCTTCCTCAACATAAAGATATACAGTAAATAAAAACAATTCAGCAAACTGTTTTGGAGTTAACAACTTGCTTGCCATGTTGTGCTAACTCACACTGTTGCCATAAATATCAGTCAAACTATTTTATATACCATAATTATTTTAGCCCAAAACATAGTTGTGTTTGTTACAGTGTATGCATTTTTTCAGCGGTTAGCTAAATGCATTTATTGTATCATTATAGAAAACGTTAAGAGTGAGTGTTAACTATCTATTCTTATCAAGTGAGTGAGGTGCAAGATTTCAGAATGGTGGCTAATAACACAGTACTTTTTTGGTATATGTTGTTATTAGGTGCCATTTACAGTAAAACCACTAAATTAGCGAGAACAATTTTTCAATTTTCCGAGATCAGACATACAATCCAAATATTTTTTAATATATGACATGGTGGTTTTGAACAGATGGTTAGTTTTGATGGGTTTGAATTAACTTCATCTTGCTCATTAAGTTTATGTTGTAGTCTGTCTTGGGTAGCGTAAACCTACTAGCACTTTTACAAGTCTAATCACCTCACAGGCAGTTAAAAACAGCAGTATTATTTTTAGCAGTAAAACCATCTGTGTTCGTGTTTCAACTCATTGGGATTTTGAGATCTTCATCACTGTCATTCACGAGTCATGTCTTTGAAATCTGTCTTCTCTTCTGTCCTGTCGACTTCGCTCGCTTTTCATTGTATTCCCATGCACTATGATTGTATTGTAATTTTAATGTAAAATAATAAAATATCTATTTGACCAAAAAGTAAGCAGTCATTTCTTTGACCAGCTTCAAATTATGTACGACCATAGTGTGGTGGATGTGTTTTTCATGATACAGTGATGTGTGTGCGCGGATGATTTACCCAACCCTGTAATCAGCCTAGCACACCGACTGATAAAGCCGCAGTCGAGTGTTTGCGCAAACTCGAATGTGTTACCCCTCTGGTCACCTCTGACCTATGACCCCCGTGGGTGTGTGCGTGGGTGTTCTTGATTCAGGTGCGAGTGCCAGGGGTGATGCTGTGTGAATGTCAAGCATGTGTGGCTAGCCGTGTTCGTGTGCTAATCTGCCTAGTGTCTGTCTTGATTATGCTGATTATGCCGCTGTCAGGTGTCTGTTTGGACAACTGTCTGTCTGTTTGGCATGTGTTCAAAGACGCTTAGAAAACCCTCCTCTCACCTATGTGTGTGTGTGTGTGTGTGTGTGTGTGTGTGTGTGTGTGCGTGTGCGTGTGTGTGCGTGCACATGCGCCATGGCAGGGATGTCGGTGAGTGCTATCAAGGATGGCTCAGGCATGCTGGTGCGCAGTGTGGCCCCTGGGGGCTCTGTCAGTCAAGATGGCAGACTCGAGGTGGGTGACGCAATCTTGGCGATCAACGGCGAATCTACGTCCAACCTGACCAACGCCATGGCCCGGTCAATGCTGCGGAGACACTCTGTCATTGGGCCGGAGGTCAGGTGAGGCATGCATCACTTTCTCCCAGTGTTCCAAAAAATGTATTTCATATTCACACACAAACATGAGATACACTTTTGCTCCCGGGTCACTTAGTGTTCACACTGACATTTGGAACATCTGCCAAAAGTCCAGTCAATACCATGTAAGTCGGAAAAAGCGGATTTGTCAACCGGATTTTTGTCTTTACTCGGTAGTCCAAGCTAAACAAAGAAGTAATTTTATTGATGCAGCACTTTTCACAGAGAGGAATCACAGAGTGGTTAATATAGTTAAAATATGAAACATATGTATACAAAGTGTAGAATAAACAGTCAAAACCTATGAAAAAAAGAATCTATTCTTCAATCTGCTTAAATGAGTGACCATGGGATGTGTGTTTTAAGATGTTTCAAAAGTGAGCAGCTCTTCGCTCAAAAGTAAATGTCCTCCACGATTCGCAGCGAAGGTCCAAAGTTGAGACATATTTTGGAGGTCGAAAAATTAGGAAAAGGTTGCAGTTTCCTTATGTCCCTCAAAAATGATGATCGAATATGACCCCAAGGTTCAGATTCAGACTCTCCCGTTGCCACCATGCACTTCCCTTGACTCACAGGGACTTTCTGGCAATGCTCAATTTTTACGGTGATTGTAAGAAAGAAGCGGGAGGTAACGTCCTCATTTAGTGCTCTAGTTCAATCCATTCACCAGTGCTCACAATAAAATATCCTCATACATATTGGTCCATTAAGGAGGTTTGATTGCAGGAGTTTTAACAAGGTGGCGATAATAAACCTTTCACGGGGTCTTCCTGCCTCATCGCAGACTTTATGTGGAGTTCTCGCAAACAGTTGTAAAATTATACAATAACACAATATCATAAAACAATCCTATCATAAAATATGTTATTTTTAGTGTTAGTTCGCAAACATAAAATTGTCTATAATAACGTGCAGCTAAATGAGGCACTTGAATATGACGTGACTTGATTTGGCCAGTAGGTATTAAACCTGAAAATTAGCTTTGAAATAGAAATGACCTCGGAGTGATCTCGCTATTAATATTTACTGCAAGAAAAACACCGATTGATTTTCAGAACTCAGTTTGCAAGGAATATTCATGGTGGGCCCCAAGATTCCAAACATATAATTGGTATGTTGCCTACTGTATCTGAATCATAAAAATATACATTTGGCATTTTTCTACGTATGCTCCACCCTTTGCAAATATCCTCATGGGCTGCAGTGACCCCTCCTCCATTACCACCCCCGCAATAAGTAGAATCTGTGATCTAGAAATCCCGGATTTAAATACATTCTGTATGGAGGGGAATCCCACGCTCTGCATTTTGTCCATAAGCAAGGTTGCGGCGGCAGTTAGCTTCCCACGGTATGTCATAACGAAGTCCTTTGCACAATTTTGTGGAAAAAAATTGGTCGTTATAATGAAATTTATGTTATAAAGGTGTTGTAAGCAAAATCGGCAAATGGAAAATAAATTACGTGAAATCAGCATTTTAAAATGTGAACCTTATGGGGGTGAAAACACTGAAACTGCAATCATGGTTTGCCGCGGCATCACAGCTGGATTGAATGAACTCAGACAATAACATTTTAAGTAGTTCCTAAAGGCGTATTTGCTACATTTGTATTTGCACTCGCAGTTGTTGTGGGTATGAGTGAAGATGTCCCTCATCCCCATTGCACGGTGGCCCTGCAAAATATCCACTCACTCATTCCCTTCAACTGCTCTCATTCATGCTTGCTTGTACACACACATGCAGCCTTTTAATGGCCTAACCTCCCAAAACACTCTTTTCCTACTGTTGGGGGGGGGATCTGTGAATAATTCATCTCTCATCTCACCTTGAACACCGCTCTTCGGAATAAAGGAACGTTTTAAACAGCGACTCATAGATGCACATGAAAGCTTAGCTGTCGCGCGCGCACACACACACACACGCACACACACACACACACACACACAGGCTCACACTGCCTCCTCCTGACAATACGGCAGACAAACTTAGCAGCGAGTGGAGGCAGATGAGCCTTCAAGTAAGACAGACGTGCAAGGGTGAGGGCTTGTCATTATAAAAAGTGCTTCTGCTGAGACAAGCCAGGCTGTCCACATGGCTCAGTCACAACAGTTCAGCAACCACATATTCAATCTGCTATCATGAGTGGAAAGGAGGAAATTGGCCCGTTCGGCCGATTCAAACAGCGTGTTCGCTGGCAGAAGAGTGGAAAGCGGGAGGGAGCGTTTAATGTCTCCTTGACACTTGAGTTGAATAAACATGATGCAAGTTTAGCATTGGAAAACATTTTGAAATTGGAAAGTGGATCAGAAGTTAATCAGCTAGCATGCAGTATATTGTTTCACACTATACAATATCTTTAACTAAATATCTTACTAAGCAAACTCAGCATAAGGTACACCAGCACAATTTAGCGAGAGCCAGTCGACCACCGGTACCAAAAAGTCAGGTTTGAACTGAAAGCAAAAAAAAAAACCCAACGTAATCAATACTGCAAGCGCCATCTGCTCTGACAAAATTATGAGGCAGGAGATGACTTTTACGTCATAAACTGATTGTCCGCAAACATCTGGCCCAGACTGCATTTTTGCTCTAGTACCATTCGTGTCCAAAAGTAGAGATGTTTTGCGCTTGTGTTCCCACGTAACTTGTCCATTATTGTACTGTCAGTTTCTGTTTGTAACGATTGTGTGTTTTCATCTCATCCTCCATCCCTCTAGTATAAATTATGTGCCGGCACACCAGGTGGATGAGCACCGTACCCGACTGCGTTTGCCCCCACTGGCATCCATCCTAGAAGACCCACCTTGCTCCCCCACACCGCCAGAACAATTGTCGGCCAGATCCCCTGTCCAGTGTAAAACCGCGGGTCCTGGTGTGACCGCAGGCAAAACCAGGTTCCCATTAGAAGACACAGCCATAGTCCCAAGTGTGAATCCAGATGCCGACTCGAGGTAATGTAAGCGCCACAGCTCCCAGCCTATTATTCATGCTCACCTAATCCCGACCTGGTGCAAGATAAACCTGTCTCGGCTTTATGACTTTATTGGACCGCAAGGCTACTGTTCTATCACATATTGATATGTTTGCTGCAGAGAGGCTATGAAATGTGCAGCTATACATTATGGGGAATGTAAATTCTTTAATGTGTTCACCTTAGGAATTTATGAGTGTAACGCATCACACAACTTCACTTTCCCAGCAGCCTCACTCGTGCTAATGCGCTGAGTTATTATCTGACACTTTAATTACCCCTACCCGTGAGTATGTTCAGTGCCAGTCTCCAGTCCATATTTTCTCCTTTCCATCCCTTTGTGGCTAATGTGCGTGTGTGTGTGTGTCTCTCTCTCTCTCTCTCTCTCTCTCTCTCTCTCTCTCTCGATAGACGCATACATGTTTACAAAATCATATGTTGCAGAGATTTGTTTTGAGCTATTGACAAAAACAGATCAGGTGGTCAAAAATGCAGACTTTGAGATTTTTCCCCAAAATACCCTCTTGAAGGTGTGTTTTTTAATTGCCCGGCAGCTGAAAGTTTAAAACTGTAGTTGAATTGGATGAAAATAACTTGATTAATAAACAGTGTGCATCATTAGCCAATGTGTTTTTCGTTGAAAGGATCTCAGGCTTGAGGATTTCACGGCAACAGTCGTTGCCGGTAGTGTGTCGTTTCTGTGGGATCATTTGTACGGTACCGAAAAATCGTTTCCCATACAAATCACCGCTCACTAGTTGACTGGACGCGATCAAATCTCTCCTGTGTGATCAACAAGATTTCACTGTGCCTGTATGTGTGTTTGTGGTGTAGTGTGTGAGTGTTTTTCTTCTCATCTACGTTCGTGGGGTTTTTCAGTGGTGGGGGGGCCGAACAGATAACGTTATGTGTGCATTCGGGTTGCTATTTTAGTCTGCACGCTGAGAAAGCGCAAGGATGACGTAGTGACATGGCGGCAAAAAAAAACAAAACAGAAAGGTGTATTACTTTTGAGATTTAAGAACTGGGAATGCCAGTCAGATTTTTCATTCGAATCATCTGAAGAAGGGCGTATCACTAAGCTCACGTGTGATGTATGCACAAAACACGAAAGAGAAATATGACGGGAGGCACGATTGCGAGGCAAGCACCTGAGAGACTGTTTCATAACGACTGTTTCATAACGATTAGCCATTAGATCTAATGAGTTGGTCATTAGATCTAATGGCTAATCGTTATGAAACAGTCGTTATGAAACAGTCTCTCAGGTGCTTGCCTCGCAATCGTGCCTCCCGTCATATTTCTCTTTCGTGTTTTGTGCATACATCACACGTGAGCTTAGTGATACGCCCTTCTTCAGATGATTCGAATGAAAAATCTGACTGGCATTCCCAGTTCTTAAATCTCAAAAGTAATACACCTTTCTGTTTTGTTTTTTTTTGCCGCCATGTCACTACGTCATCCTTGCGCTTTCTCAGCGTGCAGACTAAAATAGCAACCCGAATGCACACATAACGTTATCTGTTCGGCCCCCCCACCACTGAAAAACCCCACGAACGTAGATGAGAAGAAAAACACTCACACACTACACCACAAACACACATACAGGCACAGTGAAATCTTGTTGATCACACAGGAGAGATTTGATCGCGTCCAGTCAACTAGTGAGCGGTGATTTGTATGGGAAACGATTTTTCGGTACCGTACAAATGATCCCACAGAAACGACACGCTACCGGAAACGACTGTTGCCGTGAAATCCTCAAGCCTGAGATCCTTTCAACGAAAAACACATTGGCTAATGATGCACACTGTTTATTAATCAAGTTATTTTCATCCAATTCAACTACAGTTTTAAACTTTCAGCTGCCGGGCAATTAAAAAACACACCTTCAAGAGGGTATTTTGGGGAAAAATCTCAAAGTCTGCATTTTTGACCACCTGATCTGTTTTTGTCAATAGCTCAAAACAAATCTCTGCAACATATGATTTTGTAAACATGTATGCGTCTATCGAGAGAGAGAGAGAGAGAGAGAGAGAGAGAGAGAGAGAGACACACACACACACGCACACACAGAGAAAATCTGATTCAAGTGTTGTCTATGTCAAAGTCATTCATTGGTTGATTATAGCATACCAATAATGGGAAACTTGTCTTTTTCTGTTAAAAAAAAAAATCAAAATTTCATTTAAAAGATGAATTTGCTACAAATTTCTCTCTATCATTTTTTTAAAATAATGTTTTGCTCGCACTATCACCAGTGGGTGCTTTCTCATTTGTCTGATAAAAATCACAATATCACCACATTCGTAGTCTGGTTACAAACCACAAGGAAGAACACACATCTTTCTGCTCCTGTATGGCAAGCGTTTCCAACAACACTACCTTTAGCAGTTTCCCTTTTTTAAGGGCCATTCTGATTGTTTAATACTTTTACGTCTTCGGGAAAAGTTCAATGTGCCTGTCAGCGCGGGACAAGCTTCTGCATTCATTCAACGTGGCCACTTCTGGCATCTGTGATTGGAATAATGTATTGTATGTAGGTGGAACTGACACTCGTGACATGTGGGGACAGCAATATGACGTGATTACACCGACATCAACTGTTCATTCTCAATTAAAATGATGATGCTACATTTTAATAAATAAAATACAAAC